ATTATTAATAATAATAATAGTTTACGGTGAGGTCTGTCTGCATCTTTCTCTTCTTGCAAACCACCCTTGCTTTTATCATGCCCATACCCCAATTCATACACTGCATTTTGTTCTTTTAACTTTCCGTCCGTCTCTTGACTCCATCCAGCCACGACTTCCTTGCTCTTTCCATTTTTTCTGTGTCTCTCTGCTTTGTGATTCATTTCTCTTAGCAACAAGTGCAATGTGAAAAAAGGGCTCAGTTTTTCCTAAATGTTCCCCTGATCCAGAAATCCCATCCCTGGCTTTTACCAGGCATTCAGGTCATGATTAACAGAACGCCTGAACTGTTTTTGAGTGTTGGCACCAGAAGTTGGAATAGCTGAAGTCACATCCTGCTGGAATGGCCTTGGTGGTCTTTGGTGAGGTCACTGGTGGAGCTGATCTCCTGGTTTTGGGGAGGATGTTTTGGCTCATTATGTAGGACTGTTGTTTTCTGGTTGAGTGTGTGTGTGTGTGTGTGTTTTCTGTTCAGGTGGTCTGAAGGGGAGGGGCTTACACCTGCGGCTAATCAGGCAACCAGCTGGTGGGCGGATCTGCATTCCCTGGCTGGTGGCTCAGCCTTGCTCACACTCAGAGGGAATTGTGGAGTCTCTGGAGTTCTCTGAGCTTGGCTGTTTTCTTGCAAACGTTTCATTACCCGGCTAGGTCACGTCTTCAGTGCTAGAAGGGAGTGGGGTTTGCTCTCTGTTTCTATACTGTGGCCTGCCCTGCCAGTGTTGGTGTGGGTGTGGGTTATGTTTTATTTTATTTTTTCCCTCTGGTAGTTCCTTGGTTAAGGTATTGTTTACTGCTGATTGTATGTCTGATGGTAACCTTGGTGTTCATCTCGGCTTATCTGGTGATGCTTGCTGGTGAGGAGATGTTCTGGTCTTTTGTTTTCCTTTTTATTGTCTCTTTTGAACAGCGTGTAGATGTTGCTTATCTCTGTGTGCCTGTTGATGGGGATCAGAGGGGAACATCAGCCACTTGTGATCAGAGCAAGCAAACAGGAGGGCAAGTAAGGAAGAGGGTCACATTTTTTTAAAGACTTGCCAGGCTGGGTGAAGAGCATCCAAGGTTTGCAGAAAGAGCTCTCCATGAATGCTAACCCAAGGAGATCTCCAAGGAAGGTGGAGTTCAGGAACTTGTCCAGGAGCAGTGATGTTAGCCCTTTGAGGTAGTCCAGACAAGCACAACTAGGAGCACCAACTCTATTGTAAGGTTACATTAACACGATCTTGCAAGACTGAAAGTATTTCTCCCCTCCTTTCCTTTTACTCTCCGGAAAACTAGAGAGGGTCCCTTCTAAAATGTTTCCCACGCCCTCCCTCCTTCTGTGGGCTGAAACAGCTTTTACACGCTGGTTGTCCCATCTGTGGCTCTGCCTCCCGTCTCCCAAGGTCATTCCCACAGACCATTACAGGCAGAGACAAGAGAAAGGTCCCAGGGAGGAAGAAGAGATCCCAGTGCAAGTAGTGAGTTCACAGGAGTCAGGTAGGAAGAATGGATGAACCAGGAGGAAGTCCAGCTGGGGGTGACCAGCTACTTTGACAGTCTGGACAACGAAGCTGGCTCCAACCATCTGAGTTAGTTCTCTCATCCCAACTTCTCCAGAACAATGGAAAAGTATGTTAATTCCACGGGGTTCTCAACTGAAGAGGGAAAGGAAAGTGGTGGGATCGGACCCTCACTCCGGCGAGGGGCAGAATCAGCAATCTGAGGACCAGATGATTATAAGACATGACAGAAATTATAAGAAGCGCGCTGCCCATTTTTGCTAATCCAGATTGGGACAAACAACCCCTCTAGAAGAGGACAGACTTTTCAGAAGGTGACAAACAACTATAAAGCCTTGGGCAGGAAGATGAAAGAATGGGGGGCTTGTATTTTTCTCTTGTTTTTAATGTTTTTATTTCTAGCCACCCAGACTTGTTGGGAGTTGGGCAATATATAAATTTAACAATGATGATGATGATGATAATAATAATCATCCTCTCCGCCATATGGCAGGGCTGGAGAGGGGACCGCAGCAAAATATATAAAATATACAAATATATACAAAAATATTAAAAAATATACAATTTTGTTTATAAAAAATATACAAAATATGAAGACCTGCAAATAGAAGTAGAATGACTCTGGCAAAAGAAAGCAAAGATAGCACCAATAGCTATAGGTGCCTTAGGTACAATCCCAAAACATCTGGAGCACCATTGGAAGACCATCAGCATTGACCAAATCCCCATCAGTCCTTTGCAAAAGGTAGCTTTACTTGGAACAGCTTCCATCCTGCGATGATCCCTTTAACCCCATCAGACAACCACAGCTGCCTATCCCA